GACATAGTGACAACCTCGCGGAGATAGTCAGGGAAGCTTCCTGTGACCTCCAAACGTCGAGATCTGATGAAAACTCGATTTTTGCAAAACGGGGTGAAAACAATAACTTCCCGATTTTTGAAAATCTTCGATTTTCTTAGCGGGAAGTTAAAAATTACGAAAGTAAAATACTAAAAATTCCTTCAATTTTCTTTCCGTGTATTTCAGAAACTGAGTTATAAACAAAAATTTTTCAACTTTCTTAATAAAAACTTGAAAATACCTTTCCGTATAATGTTGATGAAAATATACGCAAAGTTGAGAAAAATTTGTATTTTAATCAACTAAATAAATCATGCAACGGTTTCCGGTATGAAGTTAAAATTTAATGATTATCTATTTCTACATCCTATAGCAAATTGATCTTTAAATTCATTGTAAAAAAAATAATAATTATCTTCGATGACGAATGAAATCATTTTTTTTAATTAATCACATATATTCTTCAAGTAGTGAGAGTACCAAAATGTAACTCAATATGTAATGTATTGAAAGACATTTTAAAAAGTTTTGTTGACGTTGGTCAGTAGATGGAAAGCTAGAAAGGTGCATATAATTCGATACTACAATACGGAGCAATGATACAACCACTCTCACAGCACGTGGGGTGCAGCCAAGTGTTGCCTCAGTCGTTGGATCAATGCGAATTGCTCAGACATGCGTCAACCCTACCTCAATTTTTATACATTATTCTGTATGATAACTGGCTCTAATTACTTCGCTTATTTAACAAGTTTTGTTATACTTTTTCATTTTTTATTTTTTTTTTATCTATCCAACTCATTACAGTTTTTTTTTTTCACAATAACATGCTGTTTCTATTGACTTACAAGCATATATCTACTTGTAAATAACAAAACTGTTTATGATTAAGAACTTGTAAATACAGTGAATTAGATTATTCCCTTGGAATAAAAAGCATAATAACTACAATGTAGATATGCATTTTATAAAGTGATTAATGCATTTGAGAAGAAATAAACTATTAATAAGTCTAAATTCAAAATAAGATTTAAAATGAAAAAAAAAAAAATTTTTTTTTAATGATTTACTTCCATTACTATATAGATATATACGATTTAAAATCGTATTATTAAATTATTTATTTTTTTTAATCAAGGAAGTACGAGTTGTTGAATTTTCAAAATCAAGTTTAGAAACAACATTAATTATGTGACCATTGTTTTTATTTTCACTTTTACTCAACGATTCTTGCCCTGGCTCTCTTTATTATTATATAAAACTATTCTACGGATAAAATTGGGGTGAGCCGCATTTCAAGAAGGGTTTACAATCAAAGGGAATTTAAGAGCTTGCGCAATAGAATGTTTTCTAGTATGTTTTGCTATCGCTCAACAGTCGCTGCAGTAGTCTTTACTGTCGTGTATTCATTTTTTCTGTCTTTAAAATTTAACGAATGATAACAGATTATTTATTTATTAACAGACACGGATTAAAACGATAAAATTGTAGCAATTATTACATAAACGTTTGGTGTTGTTTTTTATTATAAAAATTGACATATAATGCATAAAAAGACGCGAAGTGCGTTGAAAACTAAGCATGGTGGCGGCCTTGATATTTGCTAATCGTTGAGGCGATGACGAAGTTGCATGGCTCGATAACCCTACCAAAGTTACACATTTGTCGACAGAAAAAATAGTGATTTCAAAATTAATAAATGTGAAATAGACGAGGTCAATTATAGATATTCAATATAAAATTTGCATTTAAAGGTAAGATTGAATGTAATTGGGCCTTCAGTGTTGATGATAGCGGTATTATCTATAAAAAGCTATTTGAAAAGTCAATAGTGCCATTACCGTAAACAAGTAGACTGGGTTAATATTAAGGAAAAAATTATTTCGCAATGCCACGTTGTCTTATGGCGAAGAAATGGAAGGCCTATCCATGGCCTGATAGACAAGATGACGAGGAAACAGAAATATGTAATGCTGAAACCGTCCAGGAAAAACGGAAGATGGCCGTGGAGATGGAAGATGAAGAGATTGATGTGGTAGGTGACAGTATAAGTGAAGGTAATAGGGCAAATCAGCAGACGTGCTGGGGTCCTCATAGTCCTACTGCTGGAACAACCGCTCCAAGTCCACCGCCACTAAACGCTTCAGGAGCACTCTACTATAATGGTAAAAATTATATCATAAATATATTTTTTATTTCTTTTTCTTGTGTTCCCAATATAAACATAGAATTATCTAGGCCACACCCGAAACGAATTTTAGTTTTTCTCATAGTTTGAAGAAAGTCAGTAAAGTGGTACTCTTATTTGATTAAATGAATGATTGCTTTCAATTTAATTTTAAAATAAATCAAATAAACTGAAAAGTTGAACTTTTATAATAATCTTTAATAAGTTGATTCAAAACCCGAATAGTTTTTTCGAATCTCTTATCAAAAAAATTTTTACGAGTCGCTCGAAATTTTAAAAAATCCTCGAAAATAAATTACTTGGGCTCTCAATTTTTTTTTTACCATTCCGGAAATTTTAAATCAAAATTAGACTTTTAGAAGTCGTTCAATTTTTTTTTATCTTTCAAAGATTCTGAATAAATTTTTATCAATTAAAATACAATAATAATAATAATGATAATAATAATAATAATTTTTTTTACTTTTCTTCATATCTTGTGCTTTATTTATTTATTTGTTATTATGACAACTTGATTGTTTACAATTGAAAATTCGTTGATATTCATATGCAGACGTCGCTCCGAAAAAAATTTGAGTACTTTATTTTGAAAATTTAAGAAATCTTAAGCCACACCTAAGAAATTTTTGGCAAGCTCATTTTTAGAGAGGGCTCTCAAATTTTTCAAAGACGATAAACCCACAAATTTTTGTACAAGATTTTGAAAAAAAAAAAATTCGGAAAACGGTTGACCCTGAAGGCCATCCCTGCAATTTCCCGCTACTTTCGTAATTAAGCGCTCAAAATTGCACTTATTACTTTATTGAGCTCTTCGAGCTCAAAAATATAATTTTCGTGTAATTTTGAGCTCTCCGAGCTCAAAAGTCTGATAGAAGTCTAATAAAACACTATTTTTTGAATTTTCAAACTGCAATAACTGTTGAATGAATGAACCGATTTTCACGTGGTTGGCGGCATTCGACGCAGCTTTTCAAATTTCATGATATACTTTAGAACACAAATT